GGCTGACTCCATACACAGCTTCAAATGTAGATATGATAGAGCCCAATAGGCTCAGGAATCTGTACACCAGTTGATTGACGGTTGAGAGGCGGGACCAAAGAGCCAGAGCTCAACCCCCGCAAGCACAATTAGGTGAGTACACACACACACACACACACACACACGCACGCACACACGCGCCATAGCGGGGAAGCTACGGCACTGTGCCAGAAGATCCAGGGTCAAGGTCACGTCAGGGGCTCGGACCCCGGCCAGGAGCCAGCTGACACCCGAGTCCGCCTTCAGTTTTTAACAGTGGCCGGATGGGGGGGGGGGAGGAGACCGAGCTGCCGGTGAAGTGACTTGGTTAGCGAACCAAGTTGTTGCCGAGGAATTTTTGTTTGTTTGTGTTTGTTGCATGTGGCCGAGGTCCTCTTGGATCCTTGGGTCGTATGGCTGCTGGACGTCTCACCCACACACCATACAGCCATCAGTGGGGTGGGAGTGAGAGCGGGCGAGTGCTTGTGTTCGTCACAAAGAACAGTACAAGGCAAGCGAGCTTGTAGCACGGTGTGGCAATCCACAAGACCAGGATATAAACGCTGTTCAACTATTTTCGTCTACCTGAATGTTTTAAGCAGTCAGGAGCAGTAAAGAGGCGAGCAGTGAATCCTGGAAGCCAAGTATCTTGAGTGTTCCCCGTTTTCTTTAATCTTTCCCCCCATCCCTAAGCTCAACCACTTGGCCTGGACGGTAGAGCGACGGTCTCGCTTCATGCAGGTCGGCGTTCAATCCCCGACCGTCCAAGTGGTTGGGCACCACTCCTTCCCTCCCCCGTCCCATCCCAAAATCCTTAACCTGACCCCTTCCCACTGCTATTTAGTCGCAATGACTTGGCGCTTTCCCCCGATTCTTTCCTTCCCCCCCCATTCCTAACACCACAATAACCCAATAGATATTACACGGAGACGAGTCTAAATACACAGACTTAACCCATAGTTTTGTGGTCAGTATTACTAGACGTAACTAGTGTAAACGACTAGCGACTAGCTTAGTTTACTAGACTAGTAAACGGCTAGATGTACTAACTCTATAAATCTATCAATTTTTGTATCACCTCTTGTATGTATGTACTTACTTTACCTGAATAAACATTTGATTTTTTTATTTTAATTTGACTAGGCGTTCCGTAACTGTTGTGTTAAACTTGTGCATGTGTCTGGATGTATTTTTGGACTAAACCTGAAAACCTTGATTAGATTCCGGCTCGGGTTAACAATAAGGTGCGGCCGTGAGGTGTTGTGCTGGCGTAAACACCGCCAGGGTTGTGCTGGCGTAAACACCGCCAGGGTTGTGCGCTGCGCCGATGGTGGTTCACCAGGTTAGTTGGTACCCGGTGAACCAAGGCTCCAGGTTAGTTGGTACCCGGTGAACCAAGGCTCCAGGTTAGTTGGTACCCGGTGAACCAAGGCTCCAGGTTAGTTGGTACCCGGTGAACCAAGGCTCCAGGTTAGTTGGTACCCGGTGAACCAAGGCTCCAGGTTAGTTGGTACCCGGTGAACCAAGGCTCCAGGTTAGTTGGTACCCGGTGAACCAAGGCTCCAGGTTAGTTGGTACCCGGTGAACCAAGGCTCCAGGTTAGTTGGTACCCGGTGAACCAAGGCTCCAGGTTAGTTGGTACCCGGTGAACCAAGGCTCCAGGTTAGTTGGTACCCGGTGAACCAAGGCTCCAGGTTAGTTGGTACCCGGTGAACCAAGGCTCCAGGTTAGTTGGTACCCGGTGAACCAAGGCTCCAGGTTAGTTGGTACCCGGTGAACCAAGGCTCCAGGTTAGTTGGTACCGGTGAACCAAGGCTCCAGGTGGTTGGTACCCGGTGAACCAAGGCTCCAGGTTGGTTGGTACCCGGTGAACCAAGGCTCCAGGTTAGTTGGTACCCGGTGAACCAAGGCTCCAGGTTAGTTGGTACCCGGTGAACCAAGGCTCCAGGTTAGTTGGTACCCGGTGAACCAAGGCTCCAGGTTAGTTGGTACCCGGTGAACCAAGGCTCCAGGTTAGTTGGTACCCGGTGAACCAAGGCTCCAGGTTAGTTGGTACCCGGTGAACCAAGGCTCCAGGTTAGTTGGTACCCGGTGAACCAAGGCTCCAGGTTAGTTGGTACCCGGTGAACCAAGGCTCCAGGTTAGTTGGTACCCGGTGAACCAAGGCTCCAGGTTAGTTGGTACCCGGTGAACCAAGGCTCCAGGTTAGTTGGTACCCGGTGAACCAAGGCTCCAGGTTAGTTGGTACCCGGTGAACCAAGGCTCCAGGTTAGTTGGTACCCGGTGAACCAAGGCTCCAGGTTAGTTGGTACCCGGTGAACCAAGGCTCCAGGTTAGTTGGTACCCGGTGAACCAAGGCTCCAGGTTAGTTGGTACCCGGTGAACCAAGGCTCCAGGTTAGTTGGTACCCGGTGAACCAAGGCTCCAGGTTAGTTGGTACCCGGTGAACCAAGGCTCCAGGTCGCGTCAATGGACCGGGGGATGACGGCCATTCCATGCTACTCACGTCCCGTACCTGCTGCTCTTATTCAACACGGTCGGCCCTTTGCAACCTGCAGCGGTGTTGCAAGCATCCGTGTTCTCCTGCAGTTATCGTGGTTACATAAGCCAGAGATAAAACGTTCTTTACATCTTAACCTCTTCTTTATAGTAAATGTCTTGTTCCCCATCAGATTCCAATCAGATTCTTAGCAGTGCAGGGAGCCGAGGGTGAGGAGCGGCTATCGTCACCCCCGTCCTTGGCGCGGCTCCAGGTCTGGTGTAAACACCCTCCAAACCTGCTACAACGCTCCCACTTTATATTACCCTTTACGGAGCAAGGAACACCATCCGTCGTGGTGTGGAGGAGCCTCGCTGAATGAAAATGTTTACCTGACACAGGAGCGGTGCCCTGGTGTCTCTCCACAAAACGCTGCTGCTGTTGTTGTTATAGATTCAGCTACTCGGAACAGGTTCCAAGTAGCACGGGCTATGGTGAGCCCGTAGTGGACTTACCTGGCACGGGAGCGGTGCCACAAAACGCTAAATTGGTATGAATATATATACCACACAAAAGTGACATGAGGAGTGAATAGAAGCTGGGATATGAGGCCGGAGGCAAGGACCGCACCCAACCACTTGGACTGTCCAGGATCGAACGCTGACCTGCAAGAAGTGAAACTTGTTGTTGTACTCCTCCTTTGAGTGACTAGTTCTCGAACCTTTCTTAATATTTTGTGCAGTTATATTTCTGTAGTGTTGACGTCTGGCCCACGCGTTTCCTTACTTGTGTAAGACCAAAGTGCTTCTGCTAACCGGAAGAACGAGTAAATTTCCTCAAGGACCTCTCCCGAGGGACTGGCGGCTGGAAATCATCCATCAGGAACTGACGTCTGAGACCCCAGGCACAAAGGAATGGGAAAAGACTGGCCCAAGGGGAAAAAATGAGTGAAAGAAGGTGGGGAACCTCCTTGTCAGTTAGCCGTGCCTGTTCTCTGGTTAATGTGGCGCTTCATTTTTAGCGGCTCTTGTGGTTGTCTAGCCGTTGACCGTTGCCTGGGGGAGTGCGTGCTCTGGGGGTCTAGCCGTTGACCGTTGCCTGCGTGCTCTGGGGGTCTAGCCGTTGACCGTTGCCTGAGGGAGTGCGTGCTCTGGGGGTCTAGCCATTGACCGTTGTCTGGGGGAGTGCGTGCTCTGGGGGTCTAGCCGTTGACCGTTGCCTGGGGGAGTGCGTGCTCTGGGGGTCTAGCCATTGACCGTTGTCTGGGGGAGTGCGTGCTCTGGGGGTCTAGCCGTTGACCGTTGCCTGAGGGAGTGCGTGCTCTGGGGGTCTAGCCATTGACCGTTGTCTGGGGGAGTGCGTGCTCTGGGGGTCTAGCCGTTGACCGTTGCCTGGGGGAGTGCGTGCTCTGGGGGTCTAGCCATTGACCGTTGTCTGGGGGAGTGCGTGTTCGGGGGGCCGCGCGAGCTCTGGATCACTCCGTGTTTCTCTGGTTTAATTCTACCAGAATCGTGTGGTGCCTTAGAAGGACCTGTTCGATGTTATCCCGTGTGATACAGGGAGGGGCGAGGGTTCGCCAGCCATGGCATGAAGGGTTCGCCATGGACGAAAACTCCTGTATGTACTCCATTATGTAGGAAAATGTTTTCATTGGTGATTTCGTGTGATGGGATGAAGTTGGCACTTGCTATACACCTGCGACTCGGAGCAACAGGTGTGGAGGAAGGGGAGGACGCTGCCATATGGCGAGCACTATGTTTTAGGTGTGTTATTACCTGTATTCCTTTATTAAAGAAATAACTTTATTTTTGCGTGTCCAGAGAAAATGGCCATTTGAGAGTGGCGGTGATATGTGTTTCCTGGTGAATGCGAGAGGAAGAATTGGCAGGTTAGTGTTTGGACGGAGTGGGGGGGGGGGGGGTGGAAGAGAAGGAGGGGGGAGAGGTGGAGGGGAGGGTGAATTAATGGATAAGAAAGTAAGGAAAAAGTAGATGGAATATGAAAAGAGAGATAACACCAATGCTTGACCATCTATTGACTAGAAAGTTGAGGGAGTCCCAGCTGGGTGTGTGTACAAGTGTCAGGATGAACAAGGCAGCTGGGTTCCTTACTATCAGGGCTGTCATGGCGGTGTGTTCACTCACAGGATGATTGACGCTGCGCAATATTCTCTCTCCACACCTTTACCCTTTGCCTCCAGGCCTAACAACCCGTCTCCTATTCCCCCGAACGGCCCTTCCAGTCATCAGTTACCTTCAGTCTTCTCTTCATGACACCTCTCTTCATGACACCTCTCTTCATGACACCTCTCTTCATGGCACCTCTCTTCATGGCACCTCTCTTCATGGCACCTCTCTTCATGGCACCTCTCTTCATGACACCTCTCTTCATGACACCTCTCTTCATGACACCTCTCTTCATGACACCTCTCTTCATGACACCTCTCATCATGACGCCTCTCTTCATGACGCCTTCTGACACATGACGCCTCTTCTGACGCCTCATGACGCCTCTCTTCATGACGCCTCTCTTCATGACGCCTCTCTTCATGACGCCTCATGACGCCTCTCTTCATGACGCCTCTCTTCATGACGCCTCTCTTCATGACGCCTCTCTTCATGACGCCTCTCTTCATGACGCCTCTCTTCATGACGCCTCTCTTCATGACGCCTCTCTTCATGACGCCTCTCTTCATGACGCCTCTCTTCATGACGCCTCTCTTCATGACGCCTCTCTCTTCATGACGCCTCTCTTCATGACGCCTCTCTTCATGACGCCTCTCTTCATGACGCCTCTCTTCATGACGCCTCTCTTCATGACACCACTCTTCATGACACCACTCTTCATGACACCTCTCTTCATGACACCTCTCTTCATGACACCTCTCTTCATGACACCTCTCTTCATGACACCTCTCTTCTTCATGACACCTCTCTTCATGACACCTCTCTTCATGACACCACTCTCATGACTCTCTCATGACACCTCTCTTCATGACACCTCTCTTCATGACACCTCTCTTCATGACACCTCTCTTCATGACACCTCTCTTCATGACACCTCTCTTCATGACACCTCTCTTCATGACACCTCTCTTCATGACACCTCTCTTCATGACACCTCTCTTCATGACACCTCTCCATGACACCTCTCTTCATGACACCTCTCTTCATGACACCTCTCTTCATGACACCTCTCTTCATGACACCTCTCTTCATGACACCTCTCTTCATGACACCTCTCTTCATGACACCTCTCTTCATGACACCTCTCTTCATGACACTCTTCATGACACTCTTCATGACAACTCTCTTCATGTATTTTCCAATTTAATTTCCTATTACGATTGCTGTTCATTTTCTCCTCTGCGAGTAGTGTGTGCTCTTGGCCGCCCCTGGCAGCCCGCCCCCTGGCAGCCCGCCCCCTGGCAGCCCGCCCCCTGGCAGCCCGCCCCCTGGCAGCCCGCCCCTGGCAGCCCGCCCCCTGGCAGCCCGCCCCTGGCAGCCCGCCCCCTGGCAGCCCGCCCCCTGGCAGCCCGCCCCCTGGCAGCCCGCCCCCTGGCAGCCCGCCCCCTGGCAGCCCGCCCCCTGGCAGCCCGCTCCCTGGCAGCCCGCTCCCTGGCAGCCCGCCCCCTGGCAGCCCCCCCCTGGCAGCCCGCCCCCTGGCAGCCCGCCCCCTGGCAGCCCGCCCCTGGCAGCCCGCCCCCCTGGCAGCCCGCCCCTGGCAGCCCGCCCCCTGGCAGCCCGCCCCTGGCAGCCCGCCCCCTGGCAGCCCGCCCCCTGGCAGCCCGCCCCCTGGCAGCCCGCCCCCCTGGCAGCCCGCCCCTGGCAGCCTGCCCCCTGGCAGCCCGCCCCCTGGCAGCCCGCCCCCCTGGCAGCCCGCCCCTGGCAGCCCGCCCCTGGCAGCCCGCCCCCTGGCAGCCCGCCCCCTGGCAGCCCGCCCCCCTGGCAGCCCGCCCCTGGCAGCCCGCCCCCTGGCAGCCCGCCCCCTGGCAGCCCGCCCCCTGGCAGCCCGCCCCCTGGCAGCCCGCCCCTCGGCGCCAGTGCTGTTGCCTTGGCGGGAAACTTGGGCGGTAGTGGGCGGGTGTTCCTGCGCCGCCTGCTCTCCTCCATTCCACATGGGCGGCTGGTCCACGCCCATGGTGGGGCTGGTCCACGCCCATGGTGGGGCTGGTCCACGCCCATGGTGGGGCTGGTCCACGCCCATGGTGAGGCTGGTCCACGCCCATGGTGGGGCTGGTCCACGCCCATGGTGGGGCTGGTCCACGCCCATGGTGGGGCTGGTCCACGCCCATGGTGGGCTTCTCACCTGGCTCATCCTTCCCTACCACCTCCCCTTCTTCCTCCGTACTACTACTCTCCCTTCTCACCCTTATCTTCTCCCCTCACCCATCTGGACAGCTGCCCCCCCCCCATCAACGCCACAATATAGGGGTTACAAGCCCTTTTTTTTGGGGGGGGGGAGTAAAGAGGAAGGAGAGGCATAGGTGAAGGGAAGTATAGAAGTGGGAAATACAGTGAGAGGTATGAAAGCAGGCGGGCTGTCCGCCTTGCTGACACGATGTGTGTGTGTTGGCAGCTAAGATAAGCTGGCTAAGTTACTAAGCTAAGTTACAAGCCCCCAACACGTGTGTGTGTGGGAGCCCCGCGGGTGAGGGTGTGGCCGGAGCCGTGTAGTAATGTTAACTTTCCCGTGTTGCAGGTCACAGATTCGTCCTCCCAGAGTCCATCCTCATCCGTCTGGAGCCCGGCATCTGGTGAGTAGTGTGTTGTTGTTGTTGTTCCTCTTCCTTGCCCCTCCTCACCCCCTCCTCTTCACCCCCCTTCCTCACCCCATCCTTACCCCCCTCCAACTTCCCTCCTCCTCCTCCCCCCCTATACCCCCTCAATCACCCCCCCTCCTCACCCTCCTCCCTTCCTCACCCTCCCACCCTTACCCCTACATCACTCCTCCTACCTTCTCCGCCCCCCCCCCCGCCCCGCCTTTGCCACCCCCCCCCCCCCTTCGCCACCCCCCCCCACCTTCTCATCCCCTCCTCCTCACCCCCTCCTCCTCACCCCCTCCTCCTCACCCCTGCTCCTCCATCCTGTCCACAGCCATCATCTCCACTCCTCCTCCCCCCCTCCAGCCTCATCCTTCCCCTCCCTCCCCCTTACCTTGTTCCCTCCTTCCCACTCCTCCTTTCCCCTCCTATTCCTCCTTCCCCTCCCCCCCTTCTACCTTCCCCCTCCAGGGGTTGGGGAGAGGGGGAGTGGAGGGGAAAGCCTCACCCCCTCCTCCTCACCTCATGAACAATTTTGAGGTAATTATGAATATGAACATTTATATTGTTTTATGCCATTTAGTTTATCACTTTTGGTTTGTCATAACGGGGCTGGTGAGGCCTTGTGCTCTCAACAGTCACCCCGAGGCGTGCATATATTAGGAGTGGGTGGGGGGCGGCTGGGTGGGTGGTGGGGGTGGGTGCGGGTGGTGGGTGGGTGGGTGGGTGGGTGGGGCGGCTGGGTGGGTGGGTGGGTGGGTGGGGCGGCTGGGTGGGTGGGGGTGGGTGGGGGCTGGGTGGGTGGGTGGGGCGGCTGGGTGGGGGGGGGGTGGGTGGGGCGGTGGGTGGGGCGGGTGGGTGGGTGGGTGGGTGGGTGGGGGTGGCTGGGTGGTGTGGGTGGCTGGTGGGTGGGGGGGTGGTGGGTGGTGGGTGGCTGGTGTCGGTGGTTGGGGCGGGCGGACAAGCTAAGGGCCAAAGCTCATCCCCCGCTAGCACAACTAGGTGAGTACACACGCTTGTCTATCAGCGTCTTCGGGGAAGTGAGGTTTAGCTCCTGGTCCCGCCTACTGGACTTGTTGTACCTCCTGCGGTGCTGTTGAACTATTCTGACGCTCAAATTCTTTGTCGAATCTGGCTTTAAAGTTGTGGACGGAGGTGGCTTCCACAACTACAGCTTTCAGTGCACTTCACTTGTTGACCAGCCGTACGGGTAGTTATATAGTGAGGTTATCTTGAGATGATTTCGGAGCTTTAAGTGTCCCCGCGGCCCGGTCCTCGACCAGGCCTCCACCCCCAGGAAGCAGCCCGTGACAGCTGACTAACACCCAGGTACCTATTTTGCTGCTAGGTAACAGGGGCATAGGGTGAAAGAAACTCTGCCCATTGTTTCTCGCCGGCGCCCGGGATCGAACCCGAGACCACAGGATCACAAGTCCAGCGTGCTGTCCGCTCGGCCGACCGGCTCCCTAGTGCCTTACATGCCTTTGAGTTATTTGTCTCTCCATCTTCCACCTGTGCTCTCCTGACCTTTCTCTCAATTTGAGGGATCCTTGTCCCACCTTAATTTGTCTACTCCCCTCAGTATCTTGTATGTTGTGGTCATATCCCTTCTGCTTCTTCTATCCTCTAGCTTTACCTTCTTGACTCTGGCATCAGTCTTGTTGCAACCCGCTCTACTAATCTTTTAATTTTGGTTTTATGCTTCGCAAGGTGTGGAGGTTATACCTTTATTAGACCAATGCTGCATATTCCAGCATTGGTCTAATAAATGTTGTGTAGAGTGCCTTGAAGGAGTTTTGATTTAGGTTTCTAAACGATGCAGGCGATGAGTCACAATAACGTGGCTGAAGTATGTTGACCAGACCACACACTAGAAGGTGAAGGGACGACGACGTTTCGGTCCGTCCTGGACCATTCTCAAGTTGATTGAGAATCGACTCAATCGACTTGAGAATGGTCCAGAACGGACCGAAACGTTGTCGTCGGTTCTAAACGATGATCTTGTATTTGCCGGCGTCTCACATGCTGCCGATGTCATCCTGTATGTGTGCCTCCGCTGTGATGAGTGTTGGATTTATCGCCACTCCCAGATCTTTCCCATTCCTGTAGTTGTCTTCCTCTTATGATGTCGAGGCCGATTGACTGATAAAGATTAAACCACCCAAGAGGTGGCAGGGGCATGAATAACCCGTACGTTGGTACAATTTTTTGTTCAGTAATTCTTTTCAGTGTTCTGAGGTCGCATTTAATCGTCAAGCTGCTATAGCGGGGGGGGGGGGGGGGATCTGCTTGATTGATAAAGATTAAGCCATCCAAGAGGTGTGTCGATGCCTTTCTGCAGTCTCTTTTCTTTCTTCCTTTCCCATCCCCATTGGCTTACACTTGTTGGGAATGTCCACACTACACACACCCCATGAAGCAGCCCGTGACAGCTGACTAACTCCCAGGTACCTATTTACTGGTAGGTAACAGGGGCATTCAGGGTGAAAAAAACTGCCCATTTATTTCTGCCTGGTGCGGGAATCGAACCCGCGCCACAGAATTAAGAGTCCTGCGCGCTATCTACCAGGCCCCCTGTGTGTGTGTGTGTGTGTGTGTGTGTGTGTGTGTGTGTGTGTGTGTGTGTGTGTGTGTGTGTGTGTGTGTGTGTGTGTGTGTTACTAGTTGTGTTTTTACGGGGGTTGAGCTTTGCTCTTTCGGCCCGCCTCTCAACTGTCAATCAACTGTTTACTAACTACTTTTTTTTCCACACTACACACACCCCAGGAAGCAGCCCGTGACAGCTGACTAACTCCCAGGTACCTATTTACTGCTAGGTAACAGGGGCATTCAGGGTGAAAGAAACTTTGCCCATTTGTTTCTGCCTCGTGCGGGAATCAAACCCGCGCCACAGAATTACGAATCCTGCGCGCTATCCACCAGGCTACGAGGCTCCCGTGTGTGTGTGTGTGTGTGTGTGTGTGTGTGTGTGTGTGTGTGTGTCTTGGGCTGGACGGTAGAGCGACGGTCTCGCTTCATGCAGGTCGGCGTTCAATTCCCGACCGTCCAAGTGGTTGGGCACCATTCCTTCCCCCCGTCCCATCCCAAAATCCTTATCCTGACCCCCTTCCCAGTGCTATATAGTCGCAATGCCTTGGCGCTTTCCCCCTGATACTTCCCTTCCCTTCCCTCCAGGCTACTGTCGCTTTGTTTTATTGTCACCGTCGTCTTCATGGGTCGTCGTTATTGTCTTGATTCTGTCTTGGTCGTTAGTCATTGTCGTCTTGTGTCGTGGTGGTTGCCGGGCGCCGCTGGTGGTGGCGGCCGTCGCCGTAACCTCAGGTAACAATAGGTCAATAAAAGTTGTCTTGAGGAGGGAGGGGGTAATGGGGCCGGGGGGGGAAGGGGGAGGGGGAGGGGAATGACCCCGTCGTGGAACAGGAGCGCGCATGCGTGCCTGAGTGCGTGCCCCCCCCCCCCCCCCGCCCCCCGCTGGGAGGCTCCACCTGTGTGTGGGATATAGTTATATTTTGTTCGCTTTCCACGTGCTTCTGTCATTTTGTTTTTGTAATTCAATCCGGCTTTTGAAGAGCTGTCAGGCGTTCTTTATACTCTGAGAGGATAGCATAAAGGTAACATTTTTCACCTCGATATTTGTGGAGCTTTTTGGCGACTCTGCCATACGGGAGCCGGTCGGCCGAGCGGGCAGCACGCTGGACGCTGGATGATCCTGTGGTCCTGGGTTCGATCCCAGGCGCCGGCGAGAAACATTGGGCAGAGTTTCTTTCACCCTATGCCCCTGTTACCTAGCAGTTAAATAGGTACCTGGGTGTTAGTCAGCTGTCACGGGCTGGTTCCTGGGGGTGGAGGCCTGGTCGAGGACCGGGCCGCGGGGACACTAAAAAGACCCGAAATCATCTCAAGATAACCTCAAGACAAGCTAGATATAAGGGAATTGTAACCGGATCACTTCCTATGTTGCATTAAAGTCTCCTGAGATGCTTCCTCGGACACTCGTATAGTAGTGTGGACTTGCAAGTTATGGTGAGTGCGGTGTAGAGTATGTTGGTTGAGATTTGGCTACTCAGAACGAAATGTTTATGTAGCACGGTCTATGGCGAGCCCGTAAGGTATAGAGTAAGGGGAGCCAAGTGAGTGAGGTGTTGAGGTTATCAGCATTATCTTTCATCTCCGTCTTGCCCCTTTCATCTCCACACCCAGCACGGAATACTACGTTTCCTTGGGGGGGGAAGGTTTGGTGGTGGTGTGGTGTGGGCGGGGGGAAGGTTTGGTGTGGTGTGGTGTGGGCGGGGGAAGGTTTTGGTGGGTGGTGTGGTGGGGGGCGGGGGGAAGGTTGGTGGTGGTGTGGTGTGGGCGGGGGGAAGGTTTGGTGGTGGTGTGGTGTGGGCGGGGGGAAGGTTTGGTGGTGGGGTTGGGTGTGGGCGGGGGGAAGGTTTGGTGGTGGTGTGGTGTGGGCGGGGGGGAAGTTTGGTGTGGTGTGGTGTGGGCGGGGGGGAAGGTTTTGGTGGTGGTGTGGTGTGGGCGGGGGGAGGTTTTGTGGTGGTGTGTGTGGGCGGGGGAAGGTTTGGTGGTGGTGGTGGTGTGTGGGGAAGGTTTGGTGGTGGTGTGGTGTGGGTGGGGGGGGAAGGTTTGGTGGTGTGTGGGTTGTGGGCGGGGGGAAGGTTTGGTGGTGGTGTGGGTGTGGGGAAGGTGTGGGTGTGGGGAAAGGTATTTGACGTCCGGAGTAGTCGTGTTGTCTGCCAGGCACCAATTATACCCTAAGAATATTACACTAAGTATTCCATTCTCTATGGACGAGTCCAGTAGTCATGTTAAGCAACACCTTGACTTCATTTCTCCTGTTTGACTTTTCCTGTTGGAGAATCGGAGAGAGATTGTAAACCTTTTCACGCCCTCCCCTCTTCCCCCTCCCCCTTCTTCCCCCTTCCCCCCTTCCCCCTCCCCCTCTTTCCCCCTCCCCCTCTTCCCCCATACCCCTCTTCCCCCTCCCCCTC